TTTTAGCATTTTATAAAATAAAACAAAAAAAACACAAACAGAATTATTCAGTTAATAAAGTTAATTGTCAAATTTATCATAGTTTTTAGACATCATTAAAATAGTTAAAACAAGCATAATACTACATCATTAATAATAGTAAGTAAAATATAAAATTTGGCATTAACATATAATCACGGTTACATTGGACACGGAATGCATGACAACACAGGTAATATTTAAGTACACAAAGAAGATAATGTCCATAAACAATCACAGTTAATTTCAATCTTAATATAAGTAACATATATTTAAATTATGGTTTTCATTTAAGTTAACTTCTTTAACTATTGTCTATCATAGTATCATAAATGGTTTTTTTTCATAAAAATAGTACAATTATATAAACTATTTAAGCCAACAAAATTAATAAAAATAWGGAAATCATAACAACCCTGAACTGTTATTGGCCTCGGAATCATATAATTGCACAATGATAATTTAGTGAAATTTGGTAAATGGTTTTTGACCTGTAGGTACTAAATTTTAAATTCGTATAAGTATATAACTATGTCTAAGAAATATGTGAAAACGCAAAAAATGAGCTAACAATAATACTGTGTAAGGATAAAAGTGAACTAATTGCTGATACTTTTTATTGCTTTACACTGAATATCGCCTCTTTATTTTTTCACGCCCATAATTCTTTCAGCTACTCCTAAGTAATAAACGGTTTGTGCGATTCCAAATAGTGGTGCAATCACTATCATTCGACATGCTCCACCTCTGAAGAATGCCAAAGGACCTTCATTACGTAATGTTTTTCTAGAATAAAATTAAAATTATAATTATAATTATTTATTTATTTATTTATAAATATTATCTCACGTAAAACAGTCAACAACTCCTTTATATTCTAATTCGGCATCAGATTTTTTAATCGCCTGTAACCTAGTTTTAATTACATCAATTGGGTTTACAGCTAAAGCAGCACTTGAACCAGCTACACAACCTGACATAAATGAGCACCAAAATACTGCATCACCTGATAAATAAAAATCATAAATTATATTTGAAGTTGATTTGAGGAAAATAAAATAAATACCAGAGCCATCCTTTTTACGTGGTCCTAAAGCATTTAGTCTAGCAAACATCGGAAAATAAATGATGGAAAATGTTACATCACGCATTCCTGTAGCTCCCACACCACGATAGAGACCTAATAACCCTTTAGACGCAACTAATTCTCGTGCCAATGATGTAGCTGAAACTTTTGGTACAGTTTTTCCTTCTAAAAATCATAAATAAAATAAACTATTTAAATTTAAATTTAAAGCCAAACAAAAATTTTTATGGAAAAAAAAACAACCTTACCTAATTTAGCTTGCGCAGCAACTCGTCCTGCATCTTGCATTTGAATTTTTAATAATTCCATAGGAGTGGTAACAACAATTTGAAAAAGCCCTGCTCCTGCACCAGCTAACATTTCGCGTAATAATGTTAAAGGCTTCCTTAAAAATGAAAGTTTTTAATGTGTTTYTTCTGATCTATTTAGTAATTTTTTATAGCATACATACCCAGGTGTTGCCAACCAATGTCGAAATTGATCGTTAGCAGCTAATTTAATGGCTTTTTCTGGTGTAATTAACAAAATATTTACAGCAGACCCTCGATACATTCCAAAATATCCTTCAGCAGTATATGTCTTTCGAAATGCATCAAACCTATACATTAAATTTAAAATATTAAACTATTAAATTATAATTATTACTTTTGTATAGCCTTACATCGATCTATACATGAAGGATCCATCAGGACCTGGTTTTTGATTCTGAAGTCTTGTTTTAACCAAATCCAGTGGGAAAACTATGGTTACTCCAATAATACCTGCTATTCCTCCATTTATTATTTTTGGTAATAAACTGCAATTATAAATTATCATATAATATACAATTTCAATAACAATTATATTTACTATATTCTAAAATCATTATAATCATTGATAATCATTAATATGATTATAAATATATTAATATAATATTATTTTATACCTTTTAATATTTTTCTTTGCATTTAAAAAAAAATAAAAAAAATATTCCTATATAGGTATTAATGAATATTAATTCATTGTATCAAATTTAAAGTGTAAATAAAACAATACTTACGAAAAACGGTTTGAAGATGGAAGTTTTCTGAAAAAAAAAATTATATTTATTTATTAGGTAATATGATAGTATTAAGCACAGGACAATCACAGCTATACAATAAGTAGATAAAGTATAAACATAACATGGAACATTTMATTTAACAAAAGTAGTTTAATAGTAAAAATCAACTTGATTTATGTATAGTTTTTCAATAAGAACAAATGTGTAATTTATATCCCCGTAGGTTAGGAATTGGCCATTATATGTTTTATACAAGTATCAAAACTCAAAAGCCATGGTGTTGATATCACCATTCACCACCCTATAGCTTATATTTTTTACAGTTATTTGATCAGCGTCACCAATTTTTTTTTATTGAAGTTGAAACCATATTCATTAAAATTATATTTTAGGCATAAATTGTCAATTTTTTAGCATAATACAGRCATTTATAGTTTTTAATAATAAAAAAAGTGGGCAAGTGGGTCACCTGCTGTATAGTAGAGATGGAGAGTAGGTCACTATAATGGATGTATTAAATTTGAATGCAATGACAGGTATATCATTGTACATGAAAAATGATTCTGAACGGAGATGATTATATTGTTCACAAAATGTTTTCTATATTGACTCTGGAGTTTTTTTTTTTAGTTGTTAGAAGAAAAAGTTATGGAGAATCTTGAGTTGGTTTTTTTTTACCTTAGGTAAAAATTACAACAATTTTATGAATTTTCAACTTCATAATTCCATGAAAATTWGAGAATCCAAAAAAGTTAGAATAAATGTAGTAATGTTTTATTTGTAAGAATAAATAATATAATAATATRTTAGGTAAGCTTTGGTCACATAATTCTGATTCAACTATGATCATTAAAAAACTAACAGTTTTAGTTGGATGACATACATAACTAAAAATAAAAATATGCAATATATTGCTTCAATTATTTAATTGTGTTAATGTATACACAGTTACCCTGTTAACTATGTTTAATTAAAATATAATAGAAAAATAAAAAATAGTGAACAATGCTAAAAACAAGTTATTAAATTGACCTTTGTTGGTAAAAAATATGAGAAAATAAAGAGAAATATTAATTATCTTTAAGTTGTAATAGCATTGCATTTGATATAAATAATACTATTTTAACATGCATGTTAGTGTAACAGGTGGTTAGACATTTTATAACAATAACAATTCAACAAATTTGATGTTTTGTTAAAAAATAAAAAGTTCCTTCTGCAAAAATTAATGCCAATAAAATTATAAAACCTAAAAGGCTAATTGATCAGTACTTTTTTACGGTAAATTATTAAATGAATAACTTTTTTTTAAATGTTGATGATCCTAATTCAAAATTTGAATGAGTACCTAGTTTTTACGTTATTTAATTTTATATCTTAATGATAATATGTCTATAATATAGGTTTGTAATCTGTGAAATTATTTTAATTTGAAAATATAATAATTAATACTAGGTATCATTAATTGTAATTATTAACAACTATCAAATTATAATAAAAACTAAAATTGATGTTAAGTATGATTGTTTTATATTTTAGTAAAAATATTTTTAAGGACTATTATCCGTAATATAAACATTGTAAAATCAAAAAAACTATTTGTTTGAATTTTGTATCAGGTGCATGCAATAATCAATTTAATATTTTAGACTACCTAAGAGGGTTTTTATTTGAAAAACAGAAGTTTGAATTGCCACAGGACAAAGTAGTACAAAAATYTCAARAATTTAAAAAAATGATCTTTATGTAAAAAATTCCAAAAATCAGAAATTGAATAAATGCATTATTAAATGAAAAAGTAGGTGAGCATATATGATAAATCACACTGTACAAGATGTATGATAAGCAAATTTTTGATAGACAAAAGTTTCATTTTAATTAAATTGGATTAACAAACTATGAATAAAATAAGTAGGTAATCAAAATAATTGTTATAATAGATAAAAA